TCAATTCATACGTGGAAATATTAATAACTTGCCTGCAAGTATATTACAGTGTGCTTGTTTGACTTAATTTTTGCACTTACATTTAAATATGTTTATAGAAATGCAGACCTAAGGTAAGAAACAGTAATCAGAATATCATTCACTTAATGTTACTTTCATTTTAACATTGTGTTCTGTTAGCATCTGGATTTTAAGAAGTTCTTAGAGGTGCTGAATTCACTTACTGAATTCACTTACCTGTTCCAGCAATGGAGATCAGTCTTTTGGTGGGTAATTTTTTGTAAATTACCACTAAAATGATCTACTGCAATTTTTTTCCTGAGAGCTTCAATGACCTCACATGTATTTCTGCTCACTTAGTATAGGACTGTAGTGATTTGAGTCAATCTTTTGCAGCTAATTTCTTTGGTTTTGAGGTAACAAAACTTTCTTACTTACTTCATTGTTTTGAGCCTACGATATGTTCTGAACAGGCTCTGGGAATCTACATTATCTTCATCCTGTGACCTGGAGGCTTGTTTATAGATGTTAATGCAATGCCATTAGTTTACTGTCAACCTCAAGCATTTGAAATGCACATGTTGTGCCCTTAGCTTGAATATGTAATTAAAAAAAATAAAATTAAAATAATCCCCTTTGGTTCATACCCTTTTGTGATTTGAGCCTTTCTGGATCAAAGCTGCATGCTTTCCTTTACTATTTGTTGTTATTTTTAACTTGGGCATACTCTCATGCCTCTGGGAGAAGTCACTTAAAAAGGACTAATAAAATTTATATCTATTAAAAAATTGTTGAAATTCAGGAAGACCTATGGGTTTGAATTTTAGTTTCCACATTAAAAAAAAAAAACAAAAAAAAAAAAAAAACGCATGTGTTTTATTTGTGGAATGATGTAAAATTTACGTTTCCAAAGGATCAAATTTCTCTGTAGGTAAAATTTACTTGCCAGGGTTTTACCTTCTGCAGATATTTAATGAAATTTAATGAAGTGGAGGCTTGAATACAGGAGGCCTTCAAGGATAGCTGCTATGGTGATTCTGGAAGAGTTGCCCGGACAGGCAGGATAACATGGGATCTCCTGGGTCAGCTTCTTAGTGATTTTGTGGTAGATGTTTCATCCAAAATGGTTCATAAAACAGCTACTTCTTTTCTCTGCAGTCCACAAAATAAAGAACTCTTCTGTGCTCTACGGAAAGCACAAGAACAAAGAGGAACATGGCTAAGGTCATTGGGCTCACAAGGTTGAATTTGAAAGAAACCAGCATAACCAAATGGGAGCAGTAAGGTCAAAGCTAAGAAAATGGAGCAAAGAGCTATCTTCTGCCATGTCCTTGGTTGAAGCCTAGGTTTTGTTGATGTGTAGTAAGTCCCTGAGGATCTTGGGAAGTGAGTCCAGTATTTGATCAAAGAAAGTAAATATCATGTTGCCACAAATTTCAGTTTCAATAATTTCAAATAATATATTATTAATGTGCATTTTATGTATTGAAATAAAAAATTAACTGAATATGAAACCTTTCATATTTATCTTCATTGCCCAAACTAATGGTTACCTTGTGGTTTGAAGTGAACCTTGAGCAATGTGCTATCCCTATACTGACCACAAGGAAAACTGTGACACAGCCTGCGTTACGTAGTAAGATATATCTAGTGCTGGATAGTGGAGAAGCAAAAGGTAGTGAACAAGTCAAACACAGGGCATCTTGCCCTCTTTGTGTGGTAACTTACAGTGCAAATAGATTGGCGAGAGGAAATAAAGGGACATCTTGCAAATCTTGCTCTCCTGCATGGCTTTGACAGCTGAATCATAATCTTTCATGTGAATTGCAAACCTCTCTGTTCTTTACTGTAAATGGGAGTAAATTTAATCAGTGTCATCTAAGAAATAAACCTAGCAATTGTAATATAGCAGTAGCAATGAGTAAAAAGCAGATTTTATCAAAGTTTATCATGATAACTTCTATTTTGAAAGCAAATTTATTTACATAAGTTGAAATACCATTTATATGTGTAATTAGTAACATTCAGTGAGCCTAGAAGTGCTTGGAGATTCTGTTAAGTATCTCAGCACTCACTGATTATCTCAGCTACATGATGTTATTTCCCTCTTTCTACTTCCCTGCAATCCTTGCTCTCTGTTTTCTGGCAATCAGCTGCCTCTCTTTGTTCCTCTGACTCTCAGCAGGGCTCCCCTCTGTCTTCCCGTGTCTGTGAGACCTGAGTGCTTATCATGCTGCACCTGGGTATCCTGTTACCTCTCTCAAATTTCCTGCATAAAACTTCTGGAGGTTTTTCTGGTGCTTTTGGATGTCTATTTGAAATTTATGGATTGGTGGTATTTCCCAAATGAAATCTCCTGGAAAAAATAATAATGTCAAACACCACTCCAGCAGTCTGTCCCAGCTTTATTAGAATCTGGGGCTAAGTGTTGAAGTTTTATTCTGCTTTGCGGTATCAAAGAGCAATTGGCAGAGAACAGATGCTTACTTTGAAGCAACTTTTCTTAATCAACCTGGAGGCTGTCCAGAACACTTCTTCATCTAGAGCCACAAACGCAAATCATCCAGTTCACAGTAAGGCCATGTAGCTGTATATCTAGAAGTCTGCATCTTTAGAAAGAGAAAGGGAAGTGTGCAGATGGATTTCTGGCTCAGCAGATAAACAAGAGAAAATCTGTGGAATGATTAGGAAAGAAACTCCACATTTTTCCATGAGAACAAAATTAAATAAGAAATAGACCAACTATTCCATGCATTCATGATTTTTCTCAATTCTGAAAAAATGTCTCATTCTTAATATGTGAGCATCAGTTCCCACAAAAATCCAACCCTATTTAGAGCTATAATGCTTACTGTGAAGATGGGTAAATCCAACCCAAAAAATTAGTTGTTCCATCTTATGAACCATGGTGGTACCTTTCATATAGCCCTTAGAGAGCTTCTTTGTTGGCCTTCCTAACTTATGGCCCTTGTTAGATAATGTGAAAGAGTTTAACGTGTTTGTTAGATAATGTGAAAGAGTTTAATGTGTTTACATGGAATGCTAAGCTAATAGTGTCTCGCAACTGTGGTTAATGTGAAGGCAAACAGTTACACTGGATCGAAGAAGGCACAATTTCTTGTTACCATGTGCTGACTTACATATCTGAGCTTGAAGTTTTTCAAAGTATTTTAGACCTGCAGTGGTGAAAGGAACTGTCTTTCTTTTCTAAAGAAATTTAGGCTAAATTTTTCCAAACTTCAGCAGCAATGAAATAGTGTCATTTAAGACCAGGTTATGCTTTACTGTCAAAAATAGCAGGGTAGAGGTCTATTGGTTCTCCTGGCATAAGAAGTCACCTCTTGGGTAGTGGGTAGTGGAGCAGTTGGAAAAAAGAAGAGCTGTTACTACCTATTTACTTTCCTATGTGATGGTGTTCTTTCTGGTCTATACAATGGTTTTTTTGGACCTTGGGCTTTTTCAAGATGATGTTGCTGAGTAAAATGAATGTCCCTAGCACATGGTTTGATCCCCACGGAAAGTCTCACACAGCATGATGTGGTGTTTCAGAGCTTGATATACTCTGACCTTAGCCATCACTGTTATTTTAGAGATATATTACAGTGGCATCCCTAGTTTCTAGGCGGGATGGGTATTCTTTTACATTGGTAGTTGCACAAATGTGTGAGGTATTTCACTTCCACATCAAATTGAAGAGGATGTTCAAACTGAACATTTTTTCCAAACCTTTCTACAAAGCTCTGCCATTTTCCTTGTTCTTTTTTTTTTTACCAGTCTGAATTTCTTTTCAACAGGAATTAGTTTCATGACCTGTTTCATATCTGACAATGAACAGCTGTCTGGTGATGCAAAATTTCTGTAGTGAGCTGTTCTGGATTCACTGCAATAGAGGCCATGACTGTCTACCATTACAGCTTCAATGAATAATTGATTACTCTAAGGGAAAGCTCTGCTTCTTTATTTATCAAATAACCCGTTGCTAATAGACTAGAAAAAAAAGTGAATCATGGGGACATGAGCATAGAAAAAGTTTTGGGTATTTTTACTCATACAAATAGTTGCATTTGCAGCATCAAAATCTGTGAATTTTTAACAATGCGATTTAAAGATAACTATCAGTGGCTTTACCAAGCTGCTGGAAAGCTATTGCTAGATCTTACAAACATCTGTCAAATGCTTCTCGTAAAAAAGAAATATAGATAACTTTGATCAATGAATTTGGGGAATTTGATTTCAATCCTTCTTGTAAATAAGTCTCTTGAGTAGCTTTTGTGAAATTCTCTGCCAAAATGGTGCATTTTGTTATGGGACCCTGACTTGCAGACGCTACCAGATCAGCGTTCTGGTAGAGGTTAGTTCAGAGTAATGCTTTTCATGGAAGCTGAAATTCATCCTTAAAATAGGGCTTATTCAAAATATTTTCTTCTAAATGGCTGTGAAAATAATCTTTGGAGGATTTGGATTTTTCATAGGTTGTGCAGAAGTTGTTTTATGGAAAAGATTTAATTTATTAGTTCCTGGGAAATGATTTTTCACAACATTGAACTATTGTGTGTTATTGTGGAGTTATTTGTATATAATATTCACCCACATTTCCATTGATCCTTTGCTTAGTAGTTTTGTTTAAAATATTCTTGTGTCATATAGTGAGCTAGCTTTCCTATGATGTATAAAGACATGAATTGGTGTTTTGATAGGTAAACTTGTTCAGCATTTACAGCTTTTAGCTTTCTTCAGTAAAAGGGAGATTGATACATATAGAATTGAACTAAGGATATGTATTTCAAGGTAGCTAATGACACTCTTCTCTGTTCCTGTCTGTACTACCTCTTTGTAAAACTACATGAACAAGAAATATTCATTTTCAAAGAAAAATAATACTTTTTGGTAGTGTGGGGTATGGTATGGCATGATGCAGAATCTGTTTTGAGACTACAGAAAGCGTAGCATACAATGGAACAGCAAAAGCTTTTATTTTTATTTTTCTTCTCTCTTTACAGATGGACCCAATTCAAAAAGCTGTAATAAATCACACATTTGGGGTTCCTCTTCCTCATCGAAGAAAGCAAATCATATCATGCAACATTTGCCAGCTGAGATTTAATTCTGATGTAAGTTGATCATTTTGTATCAGATTAGAAATATGTAATCTTCTAGGATGTGCCATAATTTGCATAAATTGAACCTAAATGAAAGGTTGTGATTTCAGTTTGTGGCTCAGCAGGTTAAAAAGCTGTAGGATGCTTCAAATAAACACAATTATTTAGTAGTGTTTATACACCCGGCCAGATTATCCCTGCGGATATATCCCTGCAAGCTCATCAGCTTCAGTTGTGCTGCACAGAGTGTAAATAGGAAAATGGATTGATCCATTACTGCTAATAAGGCAGAAATATTTGCTGGGTCTTAATTCTTCTACCAGTCCTGGTTATGTTTGCCTTCCTTTTCAGCCTGTAAATGTTAGAAACTATTCAGAGATACTTATAGTCCTTGTGGATCTACCAGCCTTTTTCTATCCTTACAACAATATCTCCATCTAGCTGGAATTGTATTTTAATGTTCCTGTCCTGCCAGTACAAGCTTTTAAAAAAAAAAAAAAAAAAGGGGGCTCCAAAAAATGAAGTAGAACAAGGTGAACTGGAGATGGTCTTTAACATACAGAGGAAACCCATCCCTCATAATTACCCAAGGAGGCTGTGCTGCGGTGCTGCTTGCTGAGGAATACCTGTTCTGTCATAGAAAAGCTTCTTAGAATTTAATTCCTTTATTTCCTTCTCCAGGATCATTGTGTGTGCAGACAAAACCTAACAGAGTACAATGTATTTTCTTCTACTATTCTAGTCTCTCCAGGAAGCTTCTTGACATGGGTATCGCTGGTGGAAACTTATCTTCCCCTAACAAATGTCTTTCATTTACTACCTGTTAGACTAATTTGAATAGGGAAGTTACTTCAGTCAGAATAAAAGTGTTTGAATTTAGAGCAAGGTTCCTTCCTCTACGAGGTTCCTTCTTCGTGCTAGTCACATGAAGAAGTGGAATAATTATTTTGTGCTGCTGCTTCTTTGTAGGCAGCTATTTATGTACAGTTTGTACCTATTTCTAGGTTATCTTTTATTTATCAAAGCCATGAACTTATCAAAAACTTAGATTGAACATTGAAGCCTTCTTTTAAGGATTGACCATCTAGAGGTGAAAATAGTACAGCTCTTTTTATTCCCTTCAGCTTTTTATTCCTTACAAATAATTTTAACAAGATCTCAGTCACAATTTCCAGACCAGTCAGCATCATGTACTTACTTTCACTGATGACTCCAGGTTTTCTAGTTCATGGACTGAATGGGCACCTTCCTTTTGCAACATTGACATCATTCTCAAATGGTGGTGCAGGGAAGGGTAATACTTTCTCTGGAGCTGTTGTGTCCCTCGCAGATAAAAACAGAAGAGTCAAATTAGGCTCTTTCATTTAGACCCAGATGCTAGAGTTAGGACTGTGGATACTGAGCCATTCATAGGGAGGGGATGGTGGAGACTCCTGGGCTACAGTGGATCCCACTGACTGAACAGCCCAGTTCGTCACTCATAATTTTCAGCTTTGTCTTAGGAAAAAGCATGTCACACTGAATCATACATAGTATACAGTGCAAGAGACATCAAACACTTAGGTGTTACATACTAAAGTGAAACACCTCCTTTCAGAGAGGGTATATCATTTGTTACTCTGGAAAAAGATCCAGACAAAAGAGAGGATGAACACATAATTAAAATGACTTAGTCATTAGTGGATCACAACTCGGATTGATACACAGAGTGGAAAATTTTCCAGCTGACAGGAGCTAGGCATCTTCCAGAATAAAATGTTGGAAATAAAAATTACTTTACACAGAAGTAAACAAGATGTCAGTGGACACTGATATTTCCTACTCAGAGGACTCATATGCTCCCATAGTGTTCTTTTTCGTTTGCTCTTAGAAAGAGTTCCAAAGAAGAGATGGGGAAGAAGCAGAGGCCATTTTCAGATTCATCTACAATGTCCAAAAAAAATATTTCAGAAGAACTCTATTCATTTAGACTGTTCACAGCAAAATAATGGAAGAAAAGCTGTTAGGCAGATATTTAATTGTCCCTTCACACCTTCAAGTGATAGAGGCTTAAACTCCAATTTGCCAACACAGTTCAGTATAAGGTTGATCTAATGCTTTCTTCTCTCAAAGTAGATCAATATCTTTAACTTTATGGAATGGGGAGACCTTCTTGAGAAGTATCTTTTACTTTCCAGTTTTAGTATTCACCTAATTTTTAAAGGAATCCCAGTGTATCTGATTGATGGAGAGATTATGATCCCACAGCTGCTCATTGATTAATCTGGGGTGATATCTCTCCCCCTTTTCCCTACCACACAGAAGAGATTTGGGGATGTCTTTATGATGGTCTCCTCTCATTCCAGTGCATATAGTTATTACTGCTGAAAATCACAAAGTGCTCTGCAGAGGTTTTTCAAGAAATAAATAGTCAGGGTTCCACTGCAGTTTAGAAATGCTTTTCTGTAATGTGAAGGCAATAGGCAGAGCGAAGTTCCTCCCTTGTTTGGGTAATTATGAATGTCCACCAGGTTTTTCAGCAAAAATGTGCTAAAATAAAGATTTAATGTTGAGACTGAAAGGAAAGATTGCTTTGAAGAAAAAGAGCTCTTAGCAATCATTTTTTGATAACTCTACTATATGAATGACAAGCACACACGTTGTAATTTTTTCTCTTATTATGAAAAAGTTTTCATTTACTGAATATTCCTACCTTTCATTTTCGTCATATTTTGTTGAACGTGTTTTAAAACCATAACAACAATAAATAGCTTTTCTGTTCAGAAACCTAGGGCTTTGTGGCTGTTCTACCAATATGTCTTTATTTTTAGATGCTGGAGATAGGATTTACCAGAGTAATGAATAGAAATTCCATTTACCCACTGCACGACAGTATTATGAAAATGTTTACAATGAAACTGGTCTGTGAGATTTTTCATTTTTGCAGAGAATACAGAATTTTCTCCCCTTTGATACAGATTTCTTTCAGAGCAGAAGAGCTTTTTTTCTGGTTACATGGTATCAAAATTACATTTCAAAGAAAAATGAGAAAAGGCAGTACAATAGTCTAAAATCGTTTAGCTTCTTTCTAAAGGAGATATCTATAAATCTTCCTGACAGCTGTGTGTTCAGTATTTCTTTTTAAAATAAATCTTCTCATACAAGGGAAGGGAGGAATGAGCAAGTAACCAAAGCTTCTCCATGCTGAGAAAAAACATTAGAACACCAGAGGTAGATTATGTGGAGTCTGTTTCAAGCAGTGAATTTTTTTTTCTTTTTATTTACATTGCGAGAGATCTATATATAACATTTACATTCACATTGTGCATCCAATACAGGGCAAAACATTTAAGTATGTGGTTAGCTGCAAGTGTATGAGTTGCAATTTAGATTTTGGCAGCTGCCGAGAGCTATTGCACCAATTCAGAAGAACTGTTAAATGCATTGCTTTGTAGTAAGCATTTAACATCTGCTAAAAGCAACCGTTAAAATGAAGTCCAGCTGACTTCAGTAGGACAACTGATGCCTACAAGTAGCTGTAGGAGTAAATTCTCTGCTAACATGAGCTATCCTTAAACAAACAAACAAAAACCGCAAACAACTCCATGGCTTGGAAAAAAAAGCACTTACTAAATTTTCCTTGTTTTTTGATCACCTGTCTTGGCTTTTTAATCTTCCTTTACCCACATTTCTAATTTCATCATTTGATCAAGGTAGTGACAGTGTCTGTTAACAAAGTCAAACCTTGCAAAGAGATTCTCTCTTTCTCTTCCCCCTCGTTTAATTCATACGGCCGAGCAAGAATCCAGCTTCCTTTTAGAGAAAGATTGGGCAGCATTTTTATGTACTCACAGGACCTGAATTCCATTGTGATACACTGTAAAAATGTTTCCAAATATGTTAGCCAGAAATTATTTTTTTACTTAAACAGCAACAGTAGTAATGTTCTCCTGAAAATCATGAGCTGAATGCTCATCATGGAGTCCTTATTTGTTGGTTTTTTACCTTGTTTTTATCCATCTCTATAAAGCAAAGGTACTGTTGAATCCATTTGTAGTTGAACTGTATGAATTTGTCAGGATTCAGAACGTGCTGTTCCGCTAAAAGAATAATGATGCAATATAGCTCCACAGTATTTTACTACTAACTTTCCTGGGGAAAGAAGCAGGATGAAAGTACTTACATCCTATTTAGGTTATGCTTGGTATATAGAACAAATGATTAAAGTATCAATTTGTAAGCACCTAGGGGATAACAAGGTGCTAAGAAAGAGCCAACATAAATTTGTCAAGAACAAATCATGTCAAACCAATCTAATTTTCTCCTTTGACAGGGTAATGGTCTAATGGATAACAGGGAATAAATAGATGTGATATATTTTGGCGTTAATGAGGGTTGATACTGTCCTATGTGACAGCCTTGTAAAGTAAGTAGGGGAATATGGTTCAGGTGAAATTGTTAAAAGTTGGTTGCATGAGAGATTGAAAAACTGTACGGAGGGTAGTTGCTGATGGTTTCCTATCAAAACAAAAGCTCACTACAAGTCAGGATCTTCAGGAGTCTGTTCTGTGCTTGCTGCTGCTCTAAATTTTCATTGGCAATGTACGTGACAGAATACAAAGTACGTATACCGGGTTTGTGGATGACACCTAGAAGGAGGGTGGCACTTGATGGAAGGTGGCACATTCAGGTGTGCAGTCCAAAATTATCTTCACCAGTTGGAGAAAATAGTCTGGAATTCCAACAAGTGCAGTAAATAAAAGCACAAGCTCTTGTGCTTAGACTGAAAAAATTAAATGTACAAGTAGTAAAATGAGAAATGTCTGGCTTAATGGGCAAAAAGGCATTATAGCGAATCACAATCCAAATTTACATTAATAATTGCTAATCGGGAAAAAAGGAAAAATAAAAACACCCCACTATTCCTCTGATTGATTTTTTTTTTTTTTTTTGCCCCCCGAGAGTATTACATTTGTCAACAGACAGGTAAGTGTTCCACAGTATTTGAAATTGACAATGCCTCAGGTAAAGAA